GATTACTTTGCTCTGAGCTGCTCGAGAAATAAAACTACAATTTGGTTTCCACCTGAACATCTCTCCGGGTAACTTTATACCCGTATCACTAGGATAGCCTTATTCCTATCACACGCATGCTTAAACTCCTTCACTGTGTTAACCTTTACCACTTCAGCTGGAAGGCTATTCCATGCACCCACTTCCCTCTCAGTAATGTAATACTTCCTGATATTATTTTTAAAACTTTGCCTTTTTTAATATTGGGTCTACTTATTCCCTTTAATTAAGACCGCAGGGCGTTCTATGGGCGGTCTTGCCTCCCACGTGGCCGGCGGCACATGGCCGCTGCAGATCACGGAGCCTGGCCCCCCAGGCAGCCCCCCTGTGCCTGGGGACCGTGGTCTGCAGCTTCCGATTGCAGTGACAGGCTGTCACTGCGATCGGTATTTACCATGTATTGAACACAAATATTTGTGTTTTAAAACCGTAAAATGTATTACAACGACGATATCGTCAGTGAGTGCCTTTTTTTTTCATTTTTCACACATGAATTGCACTTTTGAAACACAGATATTTGTGTTCAGCAAAGTCTCCTGAGTATAACAGTACCCCTCATGTACAGGTTTTATGGTGTTTTTTCAAAAGTTACAGAGTCAAATATAAGGCTTGCGTTTCAGTTTTTTCACATTGAAATTCGCCAGATTGGTTATGTTGCCTTTGAGACCGTATTGTAGCCCAGAAATAAGAATTACCCCCATGATGGCATACAATTTGCAAAAGTAGACAAGCCAAGGTATTGCAAATGGGGTATGTTCAGTCTTTCTTAGTAGCCACTTAGTCACAAACACTGGCCAAAATTGGCGTTCAAATGAGTTTGTTGCATTTTTCACAAACAAACAAATATTTACGTTAACTTTGGCTAGTGTTTGTGACCAAGTGGCTACTAAAAAAAAGACTTCAATACCTTGGGTCGTCTACTATTGCAAATGGTATGCCATCATGTGGGTAATTCTCATTCCTGGGCTACCATACGCTCTCAAAGGCAACATAACCCATCTGGCGAATTTTAATGTGAAAAAACTGAAAAGTGTAACATGCTATATTTGACCCTGTAACTTTCCAAAACACCATAAAACCTGTACATAGGGGGTACTGTTTTACACGTGAGGCATTGCTGAATACAAATATGTGTATTTTATTGCAGTAAAAGCAAACTGTATTATGACACTTAAAGTTAAAATGTCACGTAGAACTAAGAAAATTAAAAAAATCTTATATAATTTTTTTTATTTTTTTTATTCATATTAAATTATGTTCCATACCTAAATATTTGATGATAAATGAAAGCCCGGGAGATAGATAGATAGATATATAGAGAGAGAGATATTATTTATTATATAGTGGGTGCATTTAATATGAAAGAGGTAAATTATTGTTGAACAGACATATAGCACAAATTCTGTGGTTTATTTACATTTTATTTTTTTGGATCACAACTTGTACATTTGGCTGCGGTTTTAAGGGCTTAAACGAACACCGTTATATGTTATGATGTTTTGGATAATAACAATGAATGCGCTCTTGTTGCAATGTGTGGAGAGCAGAGGGACCTCCTTTGCTTTGGCATTCACTGACAGCTGGGCGAAAAAAATATATTTTTTAAATGGGTTTTTCTCCTAATCTATACATTTGCTAGCTAAACTGCTAGCACAATATATAGATAAAAAAATCTTATGCTCAATCTAATGAGAATAAATTGTTTGTGGCATGACAAGGTAACCATTAAATTATCTCTACAAGTGTATCTTCAATGTGCACTACCATTCCCTGGGCAAGATGTTTGTGCTGCTTTGGCTTTATGTGAATCTGTCACTATTTATTATTTTTATTTATTTTTTTGGGACTATTTTTGAAGTTATACATGAAGAAAAGTAGGGACTACTTTTCGTTGTGTTTAACCTGCAGGTTGACAAAGGGTGGATCATTGGTCTAGTTCTACATGCTTTGTCAACATTTTGTCATTGGTCGTCATGTTCTTACTCGCCTACTTTCAGCGTCGTGCCACTTCAGGCAGCACTGTGTCATCGACTATCTGTTCAGACACTCAGTGTGTTGGAAAGGCAGAAAAAACAGTTTCCAGCGGCCGCCATCTTGGAATTTCCAAGATGGCGCACAGAGGAAGAAGACCCAGCAGGACCAGCACAATGGAAGAAAACGTAAGTATCACCTGTCCTGGTGCCACTGAATGTTGTGGAGGGGATTAGGGGGCTTGAGGGAGGAAAAGATAGGAATGAGAGAGGGAGAAAATTCTGTCAAAACTGTACTTCATAAGGACGCATTGCTTATAAAATCAATGATTTGTAAATCCTTTTTTGCCTCCAACTTTCTAACTTAATTTGTTTTTTGTTTTTTTTCTTTTCCTAGATTAAATAAACGACTGGAGTTTGGGCCATTGTCCCCAAATATATCTGGACAGGGGATGCATTCACCTCAAGGTGTAGTGAAGATGATACTTTAGCCAGTTTGGATTCTAGGACTATTAACTTATTAAGTTTTAACTGCTTTTTAACATGGACACGAATAAAGAAAATGGGTTTATTTGAGATGAACCCCTTGCATCCACACCATGCAGTTGTGACGTTCAGCACTCATTATGCTTATATTTAACTTGAAGGATTATTGTCTGCGGTAGACTACCACTGTGAGATCAAGCCTTTGTTTTATGTTTCTAATACCACAACTGTAATGTACGTTACTTTAAGATAGGATTTTGCTGTACACTAGTATCCTTTTACCCGAATGTTAACTCTGTCTGTCTGCGAATTATCCGAGCAGATGCTGTAATGCCAATCAGAACAGCTTTCCAATTATTTGTAAACGGCAAAAGGGTATTTACATTTTAAAGGTCTGCTCGTTTTGGTTTTCTATTTTTTTTTTTTATTTTTTTTTTTGGTGCCTTATGCTGCCTAAACAGTCCCTTCAATATCTGCAAACAGGTTTTACCTTCTAAAATATAGTGGTGAGTGCACATAAAGTTGATTGAGATAGATGGAAAAGAAAATAAATATATATATTTCTATCCTTTTCTTTCCATTGGTGTAACCTGATGTGGAAGACAGTGTGGTAATATTGTTGGGATTTTTTTTTTAAATTTATTTACTTGCATTATGTTTTCTGATACTCATGGCTGCGTCCTTTCTTTACAAAAATGCCACTATTTATCTACTATTTATGTTTAAAAGAAAAGCACAAATTGTACATACACACAAGATTGCACTCCACATTCGTGATCACCCAATGTTTAAATATTTGATTTTATTTTAGACTTTTTAATCACACAGGTTTTTCTATCTTTTAACTTAAAAAATGAAAATCTAAGATGAAGAACTAAAAGTTTAAGAACTATATTACAAATATATTACAAATCTTGCTTTGAACATTTGTAACACTTCACACTTTTTTTTTTCCTTCCTCCTTCTGATTGCATTCTTTATTGATCAGTTTTTCTGTAATTCTGTACACTTAATAAATTTAGACTAAATATTTTTTTCATAAGGGGAAAACTATTTTTGTACATGTAACTAGATCAAAACTTTTTTCCATGGGAAAATTGGATCGATATAATCCTGAACAATGTATACATTCATACATATTTTTGTGTTTTTTGTTTAGTTTAATTTTTTTTTTTAATTTCCATTTATATAATTATGTAAGACAGAGTTCTTAATTTGTAATTTGTCAGAAAGCAAACTATATGTAATTCCTACCTCTTTAGTTTTCAGTACATCTTTAGTCTCTTAAACATAATAAAAAAACACTGTGATATCATTCATTTTAGCCTTTGGTGATTGTTTATTAATTGCTGTTTGTCTTATAACAAGCCTAGCCCTTATGCATTGTTTTAAGCTATGGCAATATGGAAACGGAATGTCCTACAACCCTTCACACAAAAAGGAAGTTCAATCAGCTTGCTATGTAAGCTTTGTCTGGCAACATTTGGTAATTTTACTCCAACCTCTCACTGCTGAGTCCATATACTCCATTAAACCAGAAATCTAACCAGGCTGCAAAATAACTAATCAATAAAGATTTTTAAAATTGTGGTATTTATTTATTATGACCTCAAACTTTATTAATTCATTGGTATAGTTTTGTTCATACTAATGTCCTTTGTTTACCCCTTGCAGTTGTACCTTGCTTCCTTTAAAATAAAAGTATATAAATAGATATCTAGATAAAAAAATATATATCGAGATATCTATTTATATATTTTTATTTTAAAGGAAGCAAGGTAGATATCTACCTTGATATCTAGATATCTCCTACGTCTAGGTAACATGAGGTCAAATCCCTCTCTAGTTGGGTGGGTTGTGTTTTTTTTTTTTTGTATCTTAAATGTGGTTTTCCTTGTTGCCGTGGGTCAGAATTCAAGGAAATGTGGTAATCTTGCGTTTGGCAGCTATGATTGCTTAATCTGGCTTGGGTCCTCAGGTGACTTTACACAAGTTGTCATACTTCGAGACTTGAGATTCACAAGTGAAGTGGGGGGTGGGAGCCTTAATTTCTTGGATCTAACAATCTCTATACAAACTGATGGCAACATTTCCACTACTCTGTATCAGTTGAAAACAGAATCTAATGGCCTCCTGAACTGGACCAGCCACCATCCACCAAGATTAAAGGCCTATATCCCTGTCGGCCAACACCTAAAATAGCGCAGGAATTGCTCTTCACTTGAGGATTTTAAAACTAAAGCTTGGGACCTTAGAAAATCTTTTTGAAAATATCCCAATTGAGTACTCTGTAAAGCCTATTCCAGAGCAATCCGAGCCAACAGGGATTCCTCCTTACAGACTACAGTGCTGGTGCAGGACCACCCCTGATACGATGCAGGTTGGCATAGTATGATGGACACGCTTAAAAGGTTTTGGCTGATGCTTACATCTGACCCTCATATTAAAAAGGTAGTCACGGGCTTAGCGGGCAACGCGGATGGACGCACGGGATTGAGCTCCGCTCCCAGCTAGCCCTAAAAGCGACATAAAAAGCATTGCCTGCGGGGAAAAACCGAGACCCCCGACTCACCCAACGATGTCCCACCCAAAGCACAAAAAGCAAGGGGGCGGAGCCTGACCTCGGAGCTGCACAGACGTGCATGCCGCGAGCTCCTGCCGAGCGGGCGAGATCTAAGGCTAAAATCGACGGCTACTGAACCCACAGCACGACCAGGGTGCTCTACCCACACTGGGGGTGCACCACTGAACAGAATGATGCCTCACAGATGCCCATCGGAACCGGGTAGCCGGCACGCCGCGTGCGGCCTAATGGCGATGGAACTGGGGGGAGGCGGCCGCTCTCCCTGGGGCCGGAGCCAACAAGCGACGCTGAAGGTCTCCTATCCCCCCCCCCTTTGGACCGGTGGGGGTCATCCCGGTCCGCACTGGAAGCCCAGATCCCACCCGACCGCCACCGCACACAATGCATAGCAGACACGTGGCAGAACCCAGACCACGTAAGATGGCGGAGGCCCCTATGCAGACATCGCAAATCCCCAGCCAAACGCATGAGACAAACCTCGACTGCTTTGACTCCAGGCTGGAGGCAATCTTCCAAGCCTTCTGGGACAAGCTGCAGGCAAGTACCACTATCACCCACCCCATACGAGGTATGAAGAGAGGCCCACGGGGGATGGCGGGTAAACTCCCCACGGGCGGGAAACCCACCCAAGCCACACACCGAACCCCCAGGCCGGTAACTCACCTGCTACATAGACCGCAAAAGCAGGAGAATCCTCGTCGCAAGCGGCGTCAAACACCCAGGAGACCCAGGCACGCCACCTCTAGAGAGAAACCTGTTATAAGCCATCACGTCTGCGGCGTCATCAAGGGAGCCCAAGACAAGGCCTGGGGCTGGAAAGCGACCATAACAAGCTCCTGGCCAGCAACACCTCAGGTCCACACTCACTTGTTTCCAAGTATCGGCGTGGGCTGAGAAAAAGCTCCTGGGACTAGGACTGACAACACGTTGCCTGCCATGGAGATCCTGTCTTAATATTAAGACTCTTGCTTCCCATACACATATCAGCCTAATCGTACCCCCTACATGCATGCACAATGTGGCTATTTAATCTTTATGTTTATACCGATTGTAGTCTGTATGCCTTCTATGCTCTAGGTGCCTCACATACTCTAAGGCTGTATAGATACTGAGCCAGTGATCTATAACTTCACAAAATTAATTCATGCCTAGGAATAACCTGTCAATAACTATCCATGGCGATCAGAGTTTAGACATATATGCAACCTTGAGAATTTCTCTACACAATGCCATGCCCATCTCTATATAAGCTCAGAAATTAAGCAAAAAATGGAAAGTACAAGCGCTTCTATATAAAGTTTAAGATTGAAATTATATCGAACAAATTTGATGTGAGCTGCTATATCACCGTGCTTATCTTTCTATAAGAAAATCGTGGAAAAGTGGGAAGTATCGGTGTAGCGCTCTATATTAGTGGATATGAAAAGAAAACAAATAAAGGAAAACCTTGCTGTACCTTGATGGATAATATATACTAATGGATAATCCAGAGTAGTCAGGTATACCTTAAATACAAAGCACAAATATACAAAACATAGTGTAACCTGTATACAAAATGTAAAAAATAAAGTGCATAAATAACTCACTCACACTTTTCTGAGCTAATGTACTAGCTCAGGTATGTGCGCCTTAGGGTCGGTAGAGGCGACCCTTCCCCTCCTTTTCGTCCAAATGGTCTCCAGGTATATAGCCCTAGGTAATAGGTATAGGAGGAGAAAATAGCGTAGTACAGTCTGATGTATATAAGGTATATTGAATGAACAATACCAATATACTCACAAACCCTGAGCCAATGTATCGGCTCGCTTCATAAGATGTATGTGGTTAAGGACCACAATCCTTCTTTGTAATAGCAGGTAGGAATGAAAGCCGTAAGTGTGATAAAATATATATATATAATTTATTGTATAAAAAGTATTACATAAATATAAAAAATACACTATATCAATAAATCAACACTTGTGGCTATAGTCCAAAAGACAGTATAGTCTGCTCACTGTTCATCCAGGACGCGTTTCACCAAATTGGCTTCCTCAGCTGGAAAAAATGTACATGAGACTCCAAGGACTCCTTCCTGCTTTTATATCCAATTGATTGGGGATTGTAGCTTGTATTTTTCGCGGGCAATCTCCATGGTAACGGAGATGCCCTGTGTTACAAGCCTCTTTTTCGTCCGGTTACTTCCGGGTATGATCACTTCCGGTTTTCGGCTGATCTTGCATTATGCGTTCCACGGTGCGTTCCACGGTGCGTTCCACCATGCGTTCCACCGGGCGGCTGTAATTCTAATGTCCCAAGCTATTTTCAAAAGTATTTTCCTCAGGCAAATCGTTACCAACAAATCAGAAGGGCACAATAATATTGTTAATAGTCTAATAGAGGCTGCATGTGAAAAGGCATAAATATGTGGATCCCACACAT